ATCCGAGAAGACTTCCGCTCGCCAAACGTGAAAAAGCTGACAAAATCCTTCGAGAAATGAAAGAAGAAGGTGTCATCGAACCATCTAACAGCCCGTGGACATTGCCGATAGTACTAGTAAAGAAGAAAGACGGTACCACCAGGTTCTGTGTTGATTATCGCAGCTCAATAATGTTACCAAGAAGAATAGTTATCCCCTGCCGAGGATAGACGATACTCTAGACACGCTGGCGGTGTCAACGATATTCTCTACCTTAGATCTGAAGAGTGGATATTGGCAAGTCGACATGGCGCCAAAAGACAGAGAAAAGACAGCGTTCTCGGTGGGCTCCGACCTGTGGCAATTTACCGTCATGCCTTTTGGATGGTGCAACGCGCCAGCTACGTTTGAAAGACTAATGGAGTCTGTTTTAAAGGGACTATCCTGGACTACCTGTTAGTGTACCTGGATGACATCATAGTAGTTGGGAAATCCTTTGCGATCATCTCAAGAATTTGGAAGAAGTTTTCAAGCGACTAGGAGCTCTGGTTTGAAACTAAGCCCCAAAAAATGTCATCTGTGTCAAAAAAAAGGTACACTACTTGGACCATGTAGTCTCCTCCCAAAGAGTTGCGGTAGATCCACAAAAGACCAAGACAGTGGAAGAGTGGTCAATACCTAAAGATAAACATGAACTACGAAGCTTTTGGGACTATGCACATACTATCGCCGCTATGTACAGGATTTCGCCACCATCGCAAAACCATTGACCAGACTTACGAAGGCGAGAGGCGTTCCTCTTGGGACTCAGATTCTGACGAGGCATTCCGAAAATTGAAGAAGACCCTGACTAGTGCGCCCAAACTTAGCTACCCTCTTGGCAACGGAAACTTATATTGGATACCGACGCTAGCAATGTTGCGTTAGACGCTGTTCTGTCTCAGATCCAGGATGGTTAAGAAAAAGTCATTGGTTAATTTAAGAAGACCTTGCAAAAACCGAAATGGAACTACGTGTAACCAGACAGAGAATTACTAGCGTAGTAAAGCAGGGAACACCATTTTACAAGTATCTCTATGGAAGAAGGTTCTTGTTAAGAACAGACCATGCTGCTTTGAAATGTCTGTTGCAGTTTAAGAATCCTGAAGGGCAGGTAGCTAGATGGAGTGAACGATTACAAGAATTAGACTTCGACACAGAACATCGAGCTGGGCAATCCATCGGAATGCCGACGCACTTTCCAGAAGACCTTGCGCTAAGGACTGTAAGCATTTTTCCCGAGCAGAAGAGAAAGAAGTGAAACTCCTAAGAACAACTGTGGTTAATGTACTGGGCAACCAGAAGATCTTGCAAACGACCAAAAAAAAAAAAAAAAAAAAAAAAAAAAAAAATATTAACTGAAAAACACAGGCCAAAGACCAACGTGGAAAGAAGTTTGCAGATATTCTCCGAACGTAAAGTCGTACTGGGCCCAGGGGAATTCCTTGGTAATAGATAACGGACTACTTCGCCATGTGATCGAGAGACCGGAGGGACAAGAAGAGAGAAGGCAGATCGTCATTCCAAGGAAGAGGGTCCCAGAAGTCTTGGAAGAAGTTCACAATGGAACCAGCGGAGGACAACATCTTGGTGTTACCAAAACACTTGGCAAGCTGCGAGAACGGTTCTACTGGGTGAACTGCAAAAAAGATGTGAGAGGCCTGGTGTAAGAAATGTGACATTTGCGCACCCATTAATGGGCCACAAAAACGTGGTAAAGCCCCTATGAGCCAGTACAATGTTGGCAGTCCCTTCGAACGAATAGCGATCAACGTGGCTGGTCCTTTCCCGGAGACGAACGATGGCAACAAATACATTGTGGTAGGATTACTTCAGCAAATGGGTCGAGGCCTACGCGTTGCCAAATCAATAAGCGTCCACGATTGCTGATGCCCTTGTTAAAGAATGGATCTGCAGGTTTGGTGTTCCCATGGAGCTTCATTCAGATCAGGGAAAAAACCTTTGAGTCCAATCTGTTCCAAGGCATCTGTGAAGTCCTTAACATCCGAAAGACCAGGACGACTGCTCTACAGCCACAATCCGATGGGATGAACAGAACTATCAACCGTTATCTCGCCAAAGTAGTCTCTGACCACCAAAGAGACTGCGACAAATTTCTTCACCTGTTCCGGTTGGCCTACCGTTCATCCGTCCAAGAATATACAGGGCAAACTCCAGCCAGCATCGTTATGGACGGGAAGTGCGCCTACCCTGTGATCTGAAATTTGGTTGCTGACCGGGAGAAGATGTCGTTGGAGAAGATTATGTCCATAAAATGCGTCAAAAGATGGACGACATTCATCAGAGAGGCCGCCTAAATATTCAAAGTGCTAGTGACCGAATGAAGGAATACTACGACATTCAAGCTGAGCATGGAGGATACCAACCCGGGAAGTTGGTGTGGCTATATAACCCGACAGAGACTCGTGGTTATCTCCAAGCTACAGATCTCGTGAAAGGCCAATGAAGTCATGGGATAGGGATTCACACCGTCCTTTATACCTTATCATAAAAATTTTTCCCAAAAGGAAAAACCGGGGGTAGTCCATTTCAACCGTCTGAGCCCCTACCAAGGCGAAAAAGAAGATCGTGCTGGTTCACCGTGAGAACCTGCAGTTTTGATCCCCCTGATTCGGAGTTGTCCTTTGACGATTTCATTGCCCGATACAACAGCAGTGAGAAGGCTCGCTATGGTATAACCAAAGAAGATCAACGAGACCTCTTCCGTGCCTCCTGATTATTCGCTCGCTCATTGTGTGGCTCGAAATTTGCGAATGTCCAGAGGAATCGCTGCGACGTTCAATGAGAAGTTTTGGCGTGTCGGAGAACTACGCCGACATGATCCAGAGGTTGGAAGCGGCTTGAGGCTAACCGACAATGCACATGGTCAAACAAGACACATCTTCTACCTGGTCACCAAGAATGGTCCCCGAGTAAGCCGACTATCTCAATCTATGGAAGACCCTGATTAAACTGAGAGAAGCCCTGCTAAACAACAACATCGCACGATTAGCCATTCCGAAGCTTGCGTGTGGACTCGATGGTGTGAGTTGGCGTACAATCCGGAACATGATGAAGTCTTGTTTAGATTTACGGGAATCGAGATCCTCGTTCGCTGCTACAACCCAAAGCATCGGGAGAGAAAACTGTAAACTTCTATTTCTACCAGACTTCGCAATTTACCAGGGGCCAGCTTTGCAAATACCTTCATTCACCGAATACATCTCGGGACGAGCAGTACTAAATATATTTTTTGGCAGTTGTTGGCGCGGCGCGTATGATAGACTCGACCTAACCTCACAATATGGCCCGCCCTCGGATTACCTTAACATCGCATAGACACCGCAATTATTCATTCGTTCGAGAAGAATCGTGTCCCACTGGAATGGACTAGTACATGCGAGAACATTCGAAAACCGTCTCTACGCACCTAACGATCTATGTACATTTCTTGATTTCTTTTACCTGTCGTTATAAAAGCCGGCGGCGGTGGCTAAAGGGGGCAGTTATAAATAAACAATACAGTATATATATTTTTAAAAAATTCAAAATAAATTCTTAGTTATAAATCGTTTGCAAATAGTTCTATAAGTCTATTATCGTTAATGTTTTGTGTAATAGTTTCAAGAATGTATATATATATATATATCTTCTATCCACACGGAACCGACGAAAAACGTAACAATAATTTAAAACTATTACAGTATTAGTTACAGTATTAGTACACACAAAACAAGGCAACGCCGCGCATCTGTTCGTTCAATTCCGAGCAAAATAGCGAGGCCCCATCGACAGGTCAGATTTTGATGCGAGACGAGACTTCTAGGGTATTAAGATATTCTTTGGTATTAGTATTAGGTTTTAATAAAAAAGCAACATTTTCATTTTCAAACACAGTTTTAACTTTGTCTTTTATATATGTTTCTATATCAATTATATCATAAGTTCCATCTGGAATAACAATCACTTTATCACGTACATAAAGCTTATTATGCCCTTTTTCTATATTGACTATAGCCATAAAAGTTTCAAAATCTGCCAAACCTAAGTAATATTGTTTTTCATCATCCAAATATATAGGTGGATTAAAATCAGCCGATAAAACTAAACTGTTTCCCGATATTACTATTGTTGTAGACATTGTGAGTAAATGCTATTTTATTACATGTTGTTAGCTTATATATTATTTTTCAAGAAATTTAGAGAGAGTTGTCCGCAGTTGTATGATTTTTTTTTGTTCATTTTCGTAAATGTAAAATACTTTCACTTTACAATTTGAATTAAAATATTTAGAGAGTTCAAGAGATGGTTTTAAATTTGCATAACTATCAAAGTATACAACATAATTATCATTTTTAATGTAAGCAGTCCAGTGGGATCCTTCATTTTGCTTCTTGTCTAAATTAACAACGCCACAATCTTTTAAGATATTGTATTTGGAAGTTCATCAAGCATAAATACACCCCTGAAATTGGGTATTTTCATTAGCTTTGCATATTTTATAATGTCAATATTTGTAAGCGGTCTATGTGGAAAACTTATATACTTATATTAATTTTTTGATCCTTTTTTATACCAAGTTTACCCCCCTTATATAGTTTAATAAATAGTCCTTGTCCTTTATAAGGTTTAACAAAAAATCCATTTCCTTTAGAAGTACCCTCCATTGCTAAATTATGTCTATTCATTTCTTCTAACTGTTCTTTAGATGCTTTAGCATCGTTTACTGCTTTGGCAATTCCTGCAGCACCTCCACCAAGTGCACCTAATGCTCCCAATATCGGGAGCAAAAGAGGTAAAAATCCTCCAATTTTTTTAGGTGTTCGAATGATACGCTTTTTCTTCATGTTAAGCTTTCCACCTTTCTTTGTTTTCTTTCTATTTAAGCCCATTCCAAGCTTTTGTTTTCCCTTCATTATGGAAGTAACAGTTAAGTAAGCTACTTTTTTACTGAGAGAAGAATCCTTAGCTTTTACACTATTTCAATCCTGATCTTCTAACAATTTATCAGATGCGTGTCTTTTAGATAAATCTTCAGACTGAGAGTATGCTATATCATGTTCTTTACAAGCAGCATCCAATGAGTTTATACCAACATCGCCTCTGGCTATTCTCTTCTCCGATTTTGTACCAGGTCCAGAGTAGTTATATCCTGGTAAAATATATGAAGTTCGAAAGGAAGCTTGGTAATTAGTTTGTTTACTAAACCAAGACCTTTTTTTCGTCTCCTATTTATAGTTTTATGCACGCTGGAGTGATGCACAATCAATAAAATGTATTTAAGTACATGAAGATAAAATTGTAGAATTTAATGATAATATAAAAACAATTAATAATTTAAAAACAGAAATAGAACAAATTAAAGATTCCATTAACGATACATCACAAATTGAATCAATCAAAAGAAATCTTAAAAATGACATTAAAACAAAATTTGAAAATTTCGCACAAAACGTTTACGAAAGACTTAATCAAGAAGTAGCTTATTTTAAGAATGTTCATGATAAAATTGACAGAACTGAAAGAATTACAGCGATGGCAATAAATATGCACATAGTTAACCATAAAAAAGACATAGAAGAACTACAAGATCTAAGACAACAATTTAATAATACATTAGCTGAAATTACAAAATTCAAATCAGAAAAAATTTTGGCAGGTGAAGATAGAAATAAAAGTAAAGATAAAATTTTTGCAATAAAATCCAGTTTAGAGAAGTTAAATTTTAAATTGGATGAACTTTATGTAAGTCTAGAATCATTGAAAGAGTATGTAAAAGAAGAAAATAAAAATGTTAATGCTGATATTAATGAAATCAATAAGACCATGAACACTCAAATTAGAGAAGTGATAATTAAAAATCAAAAAGAAAGAATTAAACATCTAAGAGATGATATTGATAATATTGATCAAACTAAAAGTAAACTTATAAAATGATACTCTTAATGGTAAACAATTAGCTGATGTGCCTTTAGACAGTAGACGATATATACAAAGTCTTTCACAAAATATATCAAATATCTATAAAAAATTGGAAGAAGAACTAACAAAAATAGAAACGCAAATAGAAAATTCTGCAAATAATTCAACAGGTTTTCTATTAACAACAGTTAAAAAATATCTAGATAACCTAGTCAAAGAAATAGTTTAAAATTAATGAAATTTTTATTGAAACTAATAAGGATGTACAAAAAAATGGAAGAATGAGAAGAGACGTATAAAAGCTTTGTGGACAACTACTTTCAAAAACAAAATACCTTTTGGTAAAATTTCAAAAATATGACAACCATTAAGGAACAAGTAGTTAATGAGTTACATAAACCTGCCAGAAAAAATTATATGAAGAAGGGTAATTGTTAAAGGACTAAATGATCTTTTACAGACAGATATAGTAGAAATGCAACCATATTCCAAATTTAACAGGGGTTATAGATATATTTTAGTTGTTATCAATGTGTTTTCAAAATATGTTTGGGCAGAAACTATAAAACAAATCTGGTAAAGATGTTGCTACAGCAATGAAAACGATATTATTTACTTTAAAAACCACCCACAAAATTTGCAAACGGATAGGGGTACAGAATTTTTCAACCAACATTTTCAAAGACTGATGGAACAATTTAAAATTAATCATTATAGTACTTTTTCCAATTTAAAAGCAAGTGTAGTAGAAAGGGTAAATCGAACATTGAAAACCAGAATGTGGAAAATGTTTAGTTTACAAGGAAATTATAGATGGCTTAATATTTTACAAGATATCATTAAGGATTACAACAACACCAAACATGCAACAATTGGAATGAAACCAAACCAAGTAAATAAACAAAATGAAGAGAAGATTTTAAGATCAATATTTACTCATGCTAAAACAGGAGATTCAAAACTTGCCAAATTTAAAGTTGGAGATCATGTGCGTATAAGAAAGTATTGCGAGGCATTTTCCAAAGCTTACACTCCAAATTGGTCGAATGAAATATTTCGAATTAAAAAAAGTTAAAATGACAAATCCCAGAACATACGTAATTGAAGATGAAAGAAATGAGGAAATTCAGGGTGGATTTTATGAACAGGAGTTACAGAAAGCAAAACACTCTGACGTATACCTCGTTGAAAAGATTCTAAGAAGAAAAGGAAACAAAGTTTATGTAAAATTGTTAGGATTAGATAAAAAGTTTAATACATGGATTAATAAAAATTATGTTTTATAGCTGTTTTATGTAATTTATAATTAAATAAAAGCACTAATCAGTATAATATAGTTTTATTTAATATTTGGTTAAATTCAAGTATTAGCAAATCCTGTTAAATACATTTTAGTTCTGTATTCTTTGCTTAGTATTTGATCAAGTATAAGCTTACAATTATTAATTCGTTTTTCAAAACGTAGTCTATCTAAATAATAAGTTCTAAGTTCACTTTTTCGAGCTTGCTGATAAGGAAAATTCCACTTCACTAATACATAAAGTTTATCTTTCTCTTCCTGAAAAGTCACCGATTTCTTCATAATATTTTCTTTTAAGTCCACATCTCTTTAACCTGGTTTCGAGTTCCTCAGGATAGAGTATTAGAAACTCCAACATTGTTGAAACATTTTCACTATTTGGATTTTGATTTGGTTGTAAAATACGATAAATATTATCAATATGATCATCTTCCTGACTTGAAATGCTGGTTTGGAATACTTTAAATTAAAGTGAAAATTCTTGTTTCTTAATAATAGAAATCCTATAATCCACAACTTCCTTCAAACGCCATAAGGTTTCTATAGACTCATATCCTAAATATACATATCTCGAATATTCTTCTTTAATTTTTACAACAGGGAGGCTGTTAACTTTCTCAAAATATAATTTAAAGCCGTTGTTTATGTTCAACATTGGTTCGTTAATTTGCTGGGGAAAGCAGAAGTAATTTTCAATAGCACCCCGATTACTGTAAACATTTGTAACGATGTTAATAATTTTTGTGATAATTAATTTGTAGTGATTAAATTAATTAGCGTTTAATTATCAAATTATTTATAAAATAATTATTTTGTTAAAGGCAAATAGTAGAGTCTTGCTTCGTATCGATCGATACTCGCGGGGATACGGCGCGCGCCGTTGTCCCCACTCTGTGCTGCTTTCCCCACTCCTGTAGACGAGAGCAGTACCGAAAATCAAAAGTCGTCAGTTGCTTGGTACCTGGTTTGGTGAATAGACGACAGCTCCGCTCTGCTCCTCCGAAGGTAGCAACTCGACAGAAAGCCTCGCTTTCTACAAAGTACTTGCCCGACTACTCCTCGCACTCTCCGTAAAATTCTGCCATCCTGTCTTGTGCAGTGTCTGTTCTAGTGTAGTGCTACGCCACGTTGTTCATCAAGTGAAGCTTGTCGTTTGAAGACTTTCCTTCCAGTTTTCCTCGCTCAATCACGTGAACGTGTGTATTAGCCAACGCCTTCGGAAAAGCGGTGAGCGGCTTTACATTAAATTGTGAAAGGCCGTTCTCTGCCTTTCAAAAGGTGGCTATGAAGAGCAGTAGGTAGCGTCCTCTGGTCAGAATTTTCGCAAGTACTGTCGGGATGCGTTTCCTGTGCCTAATCTATCCGTGATTGATGGGAAAGCGTGAAAAACCTACAAATTTGACCGTGGGGTTCTGTTTTCACGTACGGTTGGATTGTGGGCTAGTGAACAAACGAAAGACAAGTTTCTTCTCGGGGTTAAGATTTAACTAGTAACTTTTTGATTTCGCGATCTTGCCACGCCTGCGCTACGCGACAGCCGTCATGAGGCCGCCTGCTGTCTTCGTCCCGGTGTGCATGCGGTGCCCGATTTTCTTTTAGAAAATAACCAGACACTGCGTAGCTGACTGAAGCGCTGTGTTGGGACCAGACGAATTTCGAAAGTCATCCTAACTTTCGAAAGTTAAAACATGCGCAGTACATTCTCCGACCGCAAACACTACGGTGAACTATCGTCTCACTTTCAGGGCCGCGCATGCGCCCTTGGTTAGAAAATAGAAAGTCTCGCGCTTGCGTAGAATCTTACTCCGCGCCATTTTACGCAAAACCCCTGAGCCAAGACTTTACGGCTGCTTCTCAGCCAATTTGAGTTTAATAAAGATTGTTTGTATTATTTTAATTTAAACTGATTGTTTTATTTTGACTTTACCTGCACCCCTTCATACCTGGAGTCTCCACTGTTTAAAGGCTACCCGTACTGGCAAACATGGACCTCTACCACTTTAAATAACAGAGGTGGCGCCCGAGAGATCTAGATTTACCACTGGGCGTCAATAAGGCTATTTTTCACAGAACCAAAGAAATAGCCTTACACATTGTTCCAATCTTCTTCACACAAAGTTATAGAGAAACCATTTTTTCCACCAATTATAATTTTCGGGGATAAATCTTGATTACTTATACCAACAACAACAAACTTTGACGAAGATTTATTCAAAAAATTAATTTTTGAATTTTAAAGATTTTCAAAAATTTTAGAAGAGATGGTGAATGTACTAAGTAACACCAAGTTCTACACTTGTTTTAATATTCAAACCCCTACCCATTCATGCCCCCACCCACTCATATACTCGACTCATGCGCACTGCTTATTATTCTATTCTCACAGATGTGGTGATATCATATTTCCTAAATAAAATTCTTTCATTAAAATCGTGGGTGTTTGGGAAGGCTTGAAAGGAAACAATGTTTTTGATACGTTTCGCGACTTTATTGTCGCTTCTTCAGGCATTATAGAAAAAGCAATTTTTTAAAAAATATCAAAATAAGATTAACTGACCACTTACCCAAAACATATATTAATCCACATTATGCCTACAAACATTCATGACGACTCCAACCGCCAACACTAAGACACTTGCAGACGAATCGAACAGAAACTTAACAGGTATTCTTTGGCCCGATATACACCGATGCTCGGTTTGTGTCGTACTGGCATCAGTTAAATTAATTTCGGTACCAGAAAAGTCTTCCCAAACACCCACGATTTTTTTTTCTGCATATTAACTACTGGGAACTAACAATAATAATCTTTAATTAAAGTATAATTTTCCTGTTTGAAATTTATAATAAAGAAAAATATTTAAAATGGTAATATGTAAAAATATTGCGACAGTTAAGAATAGATTAACGATATTTAAAATATTATATCCATTACTTCTTTGACTAATAAATTTGGTACAGTTGGATGATTCATTTTGAAAATAAGTATATTTTAATTCGGATCTTTTAATCCAATTAGTATCAAAAAGGTTTGATTAGAATAATGATATAAAACTATAAAAAACCTACTAACATTTTCTACTTTGTTGGTGAGATGCATAAAACTAATTATACTATTATTGATTATACCAACTTTCATAAATTGACAATTGTTATCAAGGATTATATTTGTCTCATTAGAGAAACATATTTCACATCGTGTTATATTAGGAGGGTAATGAACATAAATAATATTTTGAGATATGAAATAAAGGAGGATAAAATAGGATAGAGAAGCCATTAAAATAAAGTAAACACTGTATCAATTTATTTAATATATATATAAAATTTACATCCGTTCGAGAGGACAGTACTTTAATATTAGACTATATTTGATATCATAAACTAATATAAATACATTTTGCTCTAACAAATATATATTGAAAGCAGAGATAAATTATTACTAAAATCGCTAGATTTTTATATTTCCAATTTTTGTTAGTTCTAAATATTGGAAATAGTTGCTTATTAATATTTTTGTTAAGTCTTAAGCACACATTCAAGTTACATGTTGGTGCAAATTTATAATGCTCTTCGACAGGACAATCATCATACAACCAATCATAAATTTCAACTCCACAATAGTAGCATTTGCAAACATCACTAAACAAAATTGAGTAAAATCCTGCTCCAGCTAATATCTCAGGTTTTAATCTACCTTTCCATTTGTTAAAAGTAGAAAGCATTGTATCATATGTTTTATAAGCAACATTATCGATATCTTTATCAAAGCTTTCCAAACACATCTTATGAACGATCAATAGAAAATAAAGTAATTTAAAAAGAATCTACTATAAGTAGACCTACTATTAATTAAAAAAAGAGTTGTCTCCGATAACTGTAATATAAAACCTCATTAATATAATATCAATTTGTTTGTGTAAAACCTACCTTTCTTTCTACAGTGGTTACTAATTCTTTATTTAGACTTATGCTTGTGTTAGGATAATTCTTGGCATATTTCTTCGGAGGATTCTTGAACATAGACTTGATGTGATTATCTTTTGTCTGTTTTCAACGCAACAAGTGGGAATGTTGGGTCTACAATATACATATGAGTTTTATTATCTATTTTTCCTGTGTGTAATCAATTGGTTTTACCTCATTGTAGTTGATTTTTCCCTAAATTTCATCTTGTTTATATTACGATTTACAGACTGACGTTTCAATTGTTTGTCAGCTGATTGACAGATCAATCTTTGTAAATTAGGTTTTCGATCTTTTTAATCGGTTTTTATATGATCGGAAAATGTATTATTAATTTTCTGAAGATACTATGTTCATATATGGATTATAATTTTATTATGATGTAATAAAATGTTTCACTCAATCCGTATGCATTAAATAAAATTTTATGTCAAATTTTATTTTGGGTCTTTTGTTTTACTTGTTGCCTGTGTTAAATTTTATGTTGGTATTTCTGACTTGGAATCGAGCATGTTCTGAGGATTTTGCAAATAACTCGTACTTCTTCTACTTCGAACCGTCGTGGTAAACGCAGCATTTCTGATCCTGACTGACTGATAAAAACTCCATTGAATATTTTTGGCCTTGCCTTGCCGATCCGAATTGGGATTGCTTCTTTTGAGTTGTCTGGAATTCTTTTGTGGGTCGAGAAGACAGGTTGTGCAGTTTTGGCACTAGTTTTGGGCGATTTTGGCCTGTGTGTGGTTCAGAATTCCAGAGAAGCCTTGTAGAGGGATATATTCGTCAGTTAGTAAGAGACATGTACAGTTGTGTAATGTTCTTTTTTACAACTATTTATTTTAGAGGATAGGATTTTACAACACGGACTGTGTGTGATGGTCGTACAAGATGAGTACGAGGACTTTTAAAGAACCCTTTTCCAGGGAGTAACGTGTGGCGACGCCATTTTGATTTGGAACGTCCACATGGTGGAAGGGTATTTTATTATGTCCAAATCAGAACATGTCACTAAAATAGATCATATTTTAGGGTTCTTTCTTTTCCTTGGCTGTACTCCTTTAGAGTTTAAGATGATGTATGTTTAGATTAGGAATTTTTTTGTGCTGGATTTGGGGTACTGCATACTGCAACCAATGCTACTGTGACGTGAATGCCACTATGACGAGGAATGCCACTGTGACACTGAAGACCAGACACCTGGATTTTCTCATGGACTGACTGAAACAACCACTGGATAACAGATAAGACTTTGATCATCTCTTATTTTATTGCGTTTATGATTGGTTAAAATTTATCACTTTTAATATACGATCGTATGTGAACTTGGTTAGTATATATATATATATATATATATATATATATATATATATATATATATATATATATATATATATATATATATATATATATATATATATATATATATATATATATATATATACTAATAAAATATTCTTGTAAAAGTGAACTATCCGTAAAATAAATTAAACCATGAATAGTATCACAAAATATTGTTGTGACTAAACTGTGAACAACCCTGATGCGTATTTGTGATTATGATTAAATGACTGTAAAGAATAAAATGAAATTTAGATGTAAAAAAAATCCCCTGGTATATATATATATCCCCTGGTATATATATATAAAAAATCCCTATATATATATATATATATATATATATATATATATATATATATATATATATATATATATATATATATATATATATATATATATATATATATATATATATATATATATATATATATATATATATATATATATATATATATATATATATATATATATATATATATATATATATATATATATATATATATATATATATTTCATTAATTCTTATTTAAATATTTGCTACATTTTATGATAGATTTTGATAATTTCTTTTAACTTCAGATTTAGTATTTATTAAACGAATCCAGTACATTTTAGACCTTTCAATCAATGCATTTTTTCCATACACCTCCCTTTTGATATCTCTTGTTCTGCGCATATATTTTATTTAATTATTTACTGAGCTAGCCTATTTGTAACGGAACCTTGTGAACCGAAGTTCCCGTTATAGTGTAAAGTTACTTGTTTTAATATCGAAAAGTTGTATATTGATATTTTTAGCCGATCATACCAATAGGTATGGTTAGGGAAAAAAAAAGATTTTTAATTTCACTCAAAATGAGTTATTTGGGTCATAAATGACCTAAATACAAAATATTTTCATGGTGTCTGTCTGTCTGTCTGTCTGTCCGTCTGTTCGTCTGTCCGTCTGTCCGTGTGTAATAGGATAACTAAAAAAACCGCTGAACCGATTTTAACCAAATTTGGCACAAAAATACTGTAGCACCCGAGAATCTGGCCATTATTTTTTGGTGGGGGTGGGGTGTTGGTAAGGGGGTATGGAGGGCGTTAAAATTTAAAAAAATCGTAACTCCAAAATTACAGTAGCTAGCGAAACGCGGTTTTCAAATTAAGATTAGGAATAATATTTGCAACAAAATTTGTAATAACATCAATAATATATAACATATTTTAGTATATAATATATTTTTTTTTATATGGGCGGCTATACGTGCCTCCCGGCGCCAATTTTTTTACGTCCCTATTGAGTGAACGCTCCCTTACGCTACTGGGTCCTTGAGAGACTCTTTCAAATGAGGAGTATGTCCCTATTATCCACTACTAGCAGCATTTCGGTGGCTATTTCAGATCACTAGGAGTTAGCAGATATTATTGAGTTAAAATTTAAAAAAAAACTTTAATGGGAAAAAATGTATTTGCTTTGCCTACTTATAGAGTATTGTTTTCTCTTTCTAATAGTATAAAAAAACGTATTAACGTAAAAAATGGACTTAGCAGGTTATCACCTTTCACTGACGATATACAATTGCGGGATGGTTAAAAACATAAAATGCATTTAAAATTATCTGAAATAAAAACAATACGTCATTCCATGGTATTTGTTTAAAAATTTAAATTTTAAATATTTGTTAAATACTATTTAGAACGTATTGATGTAGATATATGAGTCATTTACTGAAAGAAATCAAGTATGCTGGGCTTTCACTCTTTCAACAAAAAGCGAGATAAAGGTAAAGTATTTGATTTACGGTCAGGGGTACAGAGATAACGGCAGGGTTGGGAGCAGTGTAGCCAGAACTTCTATCATTCTGTATAATAAATTTAAAAATACAATTTATATCATTACGAAAGTTTTATTTTTAAAATTTGCAGTTTGTACAAAAAGGTGGTGGAAAAGTCAATAAATCTCAGCAAAATGTTAACAGAGCTGGTAGAATGAGTGGGGGGTTTATCACTGCGACTTTACGGATCTATTGTGCCCCCACCCTTTCTTGAGTTATAACTCATCATACAGTCCTTGGGCTCTCACAAAAGCCAGTTCTGGGACGGTTTCATCTGAGACGGTTTTCAGTTGCACCTAATTTTATGGCACGAATGGTTGTAACACCTGGTACAATTGTGAGAACCTGACAACACTGGTTGGGAGTACGTAGGTAATATAAAATAAAAGTAGGTACCAATGCCAGAAATACTACATAAGCGAGGACCGCGACACTTAGGAAGTCGGAACCTCGATTACAAAATCGCGGTATTTTGTCGCGGTATTTTTCTGGAACGGTCGCTATTGTAACGCGACTCACGTGGAACCGGTATTCCCATCACTACATCCTAGTACATACTTTAGGTTTGCACTTAAACAAAATTCCCAAGTTTTTATTCTAGGAGCTTCAGATGCACGACGCACCATTGCCGGGCCCTGTAGAGTGATATATATTTTTGAGAAGCTCATAGCAAGGCGGATTGTATTGTATTTGACTAAGAGTGGGTCCCATAGGGGACCCTCCACTGAGGCCGCGAGGGCCTATTGTGGCTCAGTTTCTACAAGCTCTAATTTACAAGAGCGTCAAAGTTCATCCTCAAGACCCAGCCTCTTAATATAGGCCGTTATGTCTGAGGGCGATATGTCTTCTAGGTCTGATGGGTCTAGCATGGGTTTGCCAAACATTCAAACCTGGTCCTGCCCCCAGCGGGGCAGGTACACATAACGTACTTCATTGTTTCTTCATCTTCCATATAGAGTCGGCATTCGGCGTCTTCCACCAGTCCCATCCTCTGTAGGTGAGATCGCAGCCGGCAGTGGCCCGTGTACACTGCAGTGAGCGTACGCGCTCCATTCCTACTGGCCTTTAGGAGTTCTCCTGTTCTATGTTTGGATGGCCCTGTTAGGATTTTCTTGGCATGTTCCATTCCGGGACTGTCATTCTAGTCCAGGAACGCCGCACCCCTAACCCATTCACAGAGCCTGTCTCTTGCGAGATTTTTAGGAACGCTAAGTGTCGGTTCTGGGCTCACGAATGGCGAGCCTGCACCAATTTTGGCGAGGGAATCAGCACGTTTATTTCCCTCTAGGCCGACATGTCCCGGTATCCATATTAGCGACACTTTGTTCCTATCTCCCAATATATTAAGTAGTTTCTTACAATGAAGAATCGTCATAGACGTGTTTTTCGTTGCCTCAAGTAGTTTCAGCGCGGCTTGACTGTCCGAAAATATGCATATTGTTTTCCCGGTGTATTGCTGTTCTACCAGCAGTTGCACACAGGCGAGGGGTGTCTCACTAGGGTAAAAAATGTACACGTATTGCCAAAATGTCATTTTATACAAGACTGCCAGTGACTGCCGACGACTGCCAGTGACTGCCGACGACTGCCAGTGACTGCCGACGACTGCCAGTGACTGCCAAAGACTGCCAGTGACTGCCAAAGACTGCCAGTGACTGCCA